GCGCGGGGGCGGGGGGGGGGGGGGAGGTGGCTCTACTGGAGAGGGGGTGGGTGGCGATGCTACAATGCCACCCTGTCATATACAGGAGTAAGGAGGGTAAATCATAGGTGAGTCCCTCTGGGGGCGAGGGCAGACCCGGCTCTCCATTTGGGAGCCATTATAGCCTCATCCTATTTAAATTATGTTCAACTGTCTTTGTCCATCTTCATTCTGTTTTTGATTAGGCGGGTAATTACCATTCCACAAAGACACTGGCGGACACCGACACCAACATTGCTGTAGTCCGATAGTGCCGAGTGGACCTTTGCTCAATGTTTGAACTCTTCAGCAAACACTGAAAACAAGAGCGGTGCACATCAAAGAAACCTGGGTGCCTGTGGAACCTTCTGCCAAGTAAACAAAGACCTCTACACACAGGATATGTGAAGCCGCGGTGAGATTTCATTCCACCAGTGTCTCATTTTGCACCAGAGAATTGTAATTACAGATTCACTGCCATCTGGTACCCATGCTCGTCTCTGCCCATTCGTCACCGGTGCCAAAGCAGACTCCAGTTTCTTCCATGGCGAATTGCTTTAACCTCATGTCTGCTGTCCCAGTGGATGTGTCACTACACTACACGCTCAGACAGGCAAAACCAGAAGCACTGCACAGTGGGTTTAAAGGTATAAGCGAGGTGAAGGTTGAGGTAACACGGATCTACCACTAAAGAGGGTCCATAACTCACATAGATGAATGGTCGGAAATCTCAGCAAATGATGAGACGAAATTCATTTTGGTGATGTATGGAACGCTTCTACAGGCAGTACTATTTGTACATATGTCAGCAGAAATAAATATCCACCATTTCCTTTGTTTTGTCTTTTTTTCCCCCTCTAGGGATGAGCAGAGATCAAGGAATCAACTACTTATTACTGTGATGTACTTAAAGGAATAGTTGACATTTTGTAAAATATGTTTATGTGCTTTCTTGTCATGACTTAGAAGAAACAAATCAATACCTCTCATATTTGTCTGTTACATATGAAGCTACAGTCAGTAGTTGGTTAGCGTAGCTTGGCATAAAGAATAGAAACTGGAAAACAGCTATCCTGGCTCTGTCCTAAAAAAATAACAGCACCTACAGGCACCTTTTAAGCTCACTAATTAACAGCAACACTGTCGTTGTGCTAAGCTGTAGCCTTATCAGTCAGATCTGAGTGCAGTATGGATCTTCTAATCTAACAATCACAAATAAGCTTATCTCCAAAAGTGTCAAACTGTTCCTTTAAGGACCACAGAGCAGCACAAAACAATGAACAATGCATAACGTCCCTTTGTAAGAGCAACAGTATTATTAAGAAAGTGGCAAAAATCACAGAAATCTGCTGCATCTTACTCCTAATGTATGTGCATGGACTCGCACAGCTGCGGCTTCCCAATCCACCATGAATCATAATCAGCCTCCAATCTTTCCCTGCACATATTCATATGCAATTCAGAAAATGAGCGACATTTCCCAGGGAAGTAATCGCCCAGCGGAGAGCCTGACTGTACCTCATTTCTCACTGCTACCGGGGTAGAGAATAAGAGAGAAAAAACACTGTCCCACACGATATCCCAGCATGAAAAACACTTATTCTGTGAGGACTGGAAGCAGCTCTATAAGACAATGAATCCATCATTACTGCTGGTTCAACCCTAGTTCAGGGCCGCAGACTGACGATCGTGCAATCCCAGCATGGCCTATCCATAAGTGAGCAGCTACAGGCTGCGTGGATCTGCTCTCTTGTATTAAAACATACTGCAGGGAATTTGCTCCTCGTGCCAGAGCCCGGGCCAGCTGCCGCCAAAGACACACATTTAAATAGGCACAGTGTGGTAGTGGCATCACTTAGCCGGAGCATTATGGTGGCACTACCCGGGCAAAGGCACACAAGTGCATTTACTCAGCAGCTGCTTTCAGTGATCCATTTCCTGTAATAATCATGCTGGGGACTTCATTAAATAGTTGCAGAAGTGGACATAGAGAGATTAATCAACATGATATGAGGTGGTGGTTTCATTTTAAAGATGGATCTCTCCAATCGTTTCTTTTGAAGGTGTGTGGAGAGGACGTGTAGTGGGTGTGTGAGAGGCATTGCAAGCATGCAGCTGTTGTTCAGGGTGAGTTTGAGAGCATAAACAAACTGCATTTGAAGACCTTAACAAAGGAGATACAATTGACGCAGAAATTAAACAATAAGGCCTCATTAATTAAGAGTCCAAAGAGAACCATGTTTAATACTAAACTTAACCCCAGTACTGGTATGAAAACGGTAGGCAACAAGGCATGCATAAGTGTGTCAGTTTCCCTGCCTTTAAACTCTTCTTAAGATATTTAAAATACAGCGTTGACTGAAAGAGTTGAAGATCAACTTACTTTTGGAGGACACTCTGCAAGCAGGCTTCTCCTTTGTAGAGGGGTAAACAGTCTGTTCGGTACTCAGGTGCTCATTGAAGTGTTTCCAAGCAATAATCCTTCAAATGAAGTCTGCTTTGTCTTTTCTAAGGACCTCACCTTAATTAAACAAGACTGTGTGGTTGAAAATACACCACCATAAGTGAGAAACTACTCAAACAAGAGCAGTAGTATTGCAGCTACTAGCTAACTGTGATGTATGGAGGCTGGTGAGGGTCAAATAGAGTCTCCTGATTTCCTAATTGGACTTCACAACACCTGTGGAGGCCAGCAGAACACCAGAACAGAGCAGAGTAGACACTGCGTTCCAAATATATACTCTATAAGCATACTCTTTCTTTTTACTTTTAGTACATGCTACAGCTGCTGAGCCAAAGAGTTTCACTGAAGTGTGACTTCAAAGGAAATACAGTCAAAATTGCAAATCGGCAGCCATAATATTCCTAGTGGTAGTCTTGTGTTTTTGAAATGCTGTTGATGTGTTTACAGGTTTCTGCTGTTTATAGCAGTAATGTCTGTATTAAACAACAGAGCCTAATTTCTTGTTTCCTGTGTTCTATAGACACTGCATGTTGTAGTCTGTGTTTACAAATACCAGTGCTGGATAAAAAGAATCACATTTTCTTTCTTGCAAATAACACAAGGAACTGATGCAAACCCCCCAGGTTTCAGACTGAGACCAAAGGAAAAGCGACTAGCTGCAAGCGTTGTAGACAGGTAAAAAGATCCTTCTTCCCTCCCCTTCTCGGAGAGAGAGAGAGAGAGAAAAACCCACTTCAACGACAAACCACTCTTCCATGACATGCAGCTCTGGGATACTGGTGACAATCCAGCTCAAAAGGTTTAGAGCCCGCCTGTAAATAGAAAACATGTTTTATTATACTGTATGTTCCCTGATGTTTTATGCATTTTTATTTTTTGTTTCAAGTCTATGCTTTTTTTTTTGGGGGGGGCTATTTTCACGTGCAGAACAACAAGGTTAAGGAAGTTGAATTGGCAACATTGGGTGTATCAAAATGATGCTGCTCTAGATACAGGTCAAATAAAATAGTCCGATTTATAGCTGTACAATTAAACAGAAGTGTTCTTTTACATGTTTGTTTTAATGCACAATTCAACCTAAAATATATATGGTATGAAACCTGGCATTTGGACTTGAATGTAAATAGAGTTCTGTGGGTGTCAGCCCATGTAAAGTTTTACCTTTCAAAGCCTCTGCGGGGGATTGTAAAAGTTAAGTTTGTGGATGAGCCAGGAGCTGTTGCTAAATCCCACCCATTAGTGAAGGATAAGGTTTAATTTATGCACACACTGAACAAACACAGTTCAAGTAGTTCAAAAGCTCAAAAACATCTACAGTCTCTTTTCCCATGTTTGTATTAGTGTCAGTCCATCACGACTGGTACCAAATAAAGAGTCCAGTTGGAATCACATGTATTTTTAAAGCAGTCCATCAGTCTCCTCAGAGAAAGTATTGTTATTCCACTCACGTAGGATTCAAAGATCCATGTCCCACAGGTATGGTGGTGGATACTTTGTGTAGAGTTTTGAGGTTTGCAGAATTATTCTGAGCATAAGCTACACACACACACACACACACACACACACCGAGACATCATACCTGCAGGATAAAACAGAAAAATGTGCTTAAATTGATCACATACACACAACAGTACTTATCCACGTGACTGTTATAATAGTTATTAATACTTTAAATTAATTTAAATGTTCAGCGCTGGACCAAATATTTTAGTTCTGTATGAAATACTGCGTTCATGAATATCAATTAAAGGCAGACGATGATAAAAGCACAAATTAGTTTATCTCTCAGTGGTGCGCTGCAACATCCCGGGCTTTCACAACAATTCATTAGGTGTTCTGTCTGATCCTTTTTGAGAAAAACTTCATGTGCCAATGAGTGCACAGGGGCCTTTACGCGTCCACGTCCAGACTCGATGGATTTGTGATGACTTTCTCTCTGCTCACAGCTCAAGGTCACGGGTTCCCTGTGACTCCGCGTGGCCTCGCGTTCCCACTGAAGACCGTGCTGTCTCAGCTTTCTGTCCCACAATCTGCGAATGCTGCCCTCAACCTCCCAGAGCTCAACCTGTCAACCCGCCCCCCCCCGACCCCTGCTGCAGTGCAGCGGGGAGGGGGTCGATATGAAAAAAGAAAAGAAAAATGGAAGAAAAAAGGAAAGAAATATTAAGAAAAAAAGATGAGGGCAGCAGGAAATGGGCCGAGGAGCAAAAAACAGAAAACAATTTAAAGTGGTAAGAATAGAAAAAGCCAAAGCACTCGAGATTGAAAGGCCTCTTCCTCTAATTTACACCGTATTCATCACCGCAGAGGGCAGACACTCTCATATCGCTTTCCATTCACTTCCTCACCCGTGGCTGCAGGTCAAAGGAAAAGGCAATTTCCCCTCAGCCCATGAACAAGCTGCTCCATTCCTCATGGATAAACTGTACTTTTGAAACGCGTAGAAGCGAGGGCATTCATCACCAAGCCAGGTCTCCCTCCTCCTCCTCCTCCTCCTCCTCCTCGCTGGAAGACGCAATCACATCTGATTAATAACTTCCTCCTTGTGCAGTTAGAGACCGCTCAGCGGGGCCACTGTCAGTCAGGAGGGGCAGTGTCGGGCGCACTGCCCACCTAATTCGCTTACTGAGCACTGGGCAGCGTGCCCACCTACTGAAGACGCAGAGCAGACAGTCTCAGGCTGTCAGACTTTCATCTTGCAGATCCACCATGCTGGGCCTGCCAATGAAGACACCAGGAGACTGTTACAAATCCACCGCACATCTTCGGCAGGGAAAATAGAAGAATTTAAGGCGAGCGAAAGTCAACAGAAAAATGCAAAATACGAATAGGCTTTAAGCAGATGTCAGTGAGGATGTCCTTGTGGTTGTGAAGGCAAACGGGGATACAGTGGGTCAGATATTAATGTAAAGAAAAGCCGATGTAAAAATAACTCAATAACACTGGCAAGGTGGCATGCCTGTAAACCACAAAAGCAAAAACAAGCACACATTTGCGAACCCGGGTACAGCCATTCCTCTCTCCTTTCTCATCACATTTCCATCTCCTGCTCACACACTGAATTCCTCTTTAAAACATCACTTCCACTTCAGAGGGATGGAGAGACGAGAGCGGGCTGGAAGTAGATGGATGATGATTATTCAGGCGCACTCTCTCTTCTCTTTCTCCTCTCTCCATTGATCGCGTCCCATCAGAGAGGCTATAAATATTAATAAGAGGGCTTTGTTTTAGCAACCTGTGTGAAGATCAGAGCGCAGAACAATAGAAGTATCTGGACATGTTTTTTTTTTTTTTTTTTTTGCAGGCAGACAGGCAGGCAACCTGCAGAGTGTCCTTGGGGGTGGGGAGCCTGGGGGGAGCACAGCCCTCAACCCAGCGCCTCAGGCTCAGTGCGTTCACGTCAAGGGCAGCTCAAGGGGAACTGCTAATGTGGGAGACCTGAGTCTGGTTTAAAATTAGCCTTTCACAGGCGGACGCGTGGTGCATGAAATCGTAGACAAACATTCATTATAGTGTGTAGAGGATACAAACTGTTTTGTTTTATATTTCTGTCAGACTTTTAGGTATTGTCACACAATTACAAAAGCATTTGTACAACAGACAAATCAAACAGAAATTTAAATATTTCTCTCGTTCCCTCTCTGAATCTACATGGTTTTTTTTGGTTTCGTTTTTTTTAAAAGGCCAGTTACCCAAAATCTCTCACATGCATGAAAACATTTTCTCACTTATTGGTAATAATATCAAACCATGGAGGTAGTTTCAGTTTTAAAAGAATAGTTCAGCATTTTGGGAAATACATTTTTTGGGGGGAGAGTTAAATAAGAGCAGACAGCAGCAAATCAAACCAGAACAAATGTATTTATGAAAAAACTATTTCTTTAAGGTAGCTTCAGTTTAATGGCTGCTAACATAATGTGGATGTCTGACTGTTTTATGATTCATTAAATCAATAATACATTGATAATTGCATCTTGTAACACAACCGTTTCTTTTTTTGGGAGTTGTTTTTGATATTCTTATCACATTGCTTGCTTTCTGAAGAAAATAAATCAGTTATACAAATGATTTGTTTTCTTGCTTTTTAGTTTTTAGTTTGTAAAATATCTTTACGTCACAATTCTTATTTCTGTCTCGATAAAGTTCGGAAACTGTGTAAACACCGGGGACACCAATGGAAATGAGTCCAGTAATGTGTCATTCTATTCCTGATACAGAGACATATCTCAGAACCTCAGCAAATAAAACCAAAACCATCTTCATGATTAGATACCACGAGGAGATAAAGTGAAAAAAAAAAGTGTTTTATTTGGTTTGGTTTGAACTGACCCTCAATTAATGGAAAACCACAGCGAGATGAAACAGGTCAAACATCAGCCTGAGTATATTCGACACTCCCTCCCTTCCAGGGTCATTTAGTGTCTTAGAACAATGTGTGTTTGTGTTTTATGTGACCTCCATTTTCTCATCCTGACCCGGTTATATGAGCGCGTGGGGTCGCGTTGCCCCTCCACTTGGTTAAACGTTTTGATGTTGTACTCAACACCATTGTGTTCACAAACCAGAGTCCTCCCTCTGATGGCGGGGACAGTGATGGAGGGTCGGGCCTGCTCCGGTTGCAAAAAAATAAAACCGAGACAATGGTTTGACCCAGGACAAAGAGAGAGAGCTGATGTCTGGTGGCAGAATGGATCCCTCTGGTTTAATGGGAGTTTATAATTTACTGCAGATGTTGACCAACTCCTTTTCAATCTAGAAACAATACGTGTGACATGGGGCCCGTTTTTAGAAGGGAACAAATCGATGATACAGAATGGTTTGGATTTTATGAGAAGTTGGGCTGGATTGGCTGTGGGGGTTTGACTGATGCAAGCCATTCAAGCTGCTCCACTGAGCACAGGGGGCTGCCTGTGTGAAGGGTGGAGGCAAAATGAAGCTGGAGGCTGGGTTAGAGCTGGTTTGTGCCGCTCATGTATTACCATTACATTGAAGTCACAAAGCTATACGCATTGGGACAAAGAAGGGAACTTCTATTTGGAACTTTTTTTTTTATAGTGAGATTTTAAAGGCTCTCTTTTGTTTTGTTTTTCTGAGAAAAACAAAGATTTGAAAGAGAGAGCTTTTAAGCAAACTATTTTCAAAGCAATAAATATTTGCCGACTGCCTTT